TTCTATGATTCTATGATTATAAGTCACTGCTGTGTTTTAAGACCAAAATTTTAGATTTCCTGAGTCAACCTGGAAGCACCTGTGTCTGGGCTGGCCTCACAGATACACATCTCCAGCCCAGCACAGGGCTGAGAAGAGGTTTTCACCCAACTCTACATTCTGGTGTGCCACCTGCAGACAGAAGTGGAGGTTACCCACCAGCAAGATTATTAGTATTTCACCTTTCAGCACTTCTAATGCAACTCTCTGCACATGCTGCTTCAGTGTAGCAGCCAGGGTCAGAGACTGACAAGCAGAAGGACACAGCCTTAGAGAGGAGTGGAAAAGCCAAACCTTATGCCTGCTTTGGATGAGCTAAGGCTCTCTTTCCGACGACACATCTCCTTCTGCTCCGCTGCTTGCGCTGGGGTCATCCTTGTTACGGGGAGCATTTCTTTCTCTACTTGACTCAGAGGGCACCTTGGTTCTGGTCTTCTCTTTTCTTTGTTGCTGTTTTTCAAGCTTTGTCAGCTACTCAGAAAGTAAGGAGAGTGAGAAAGAATTCATGGAATACAATAACTTTAGAAGATTATTTAAAAAAAAATGTAAATGTGAGCGTTTGTATAAAACTTGTAACGCAGACTCACAACATCAACACATATATCAATAAAACAGAAAAGAAAAAAAAAAAAAGCCCAAGGCTTAGGTTTTCAGAAATTTGGAGAAGACAGTAAATTATCATCATACACTAACCCCAAGTATAAAAGTGCATATATACAAAGGACTCCCCTCTGCTTTTCAGAGTTCCTTCTCCGCCCAGCACAATCTGCAAAGCTGGAAAATAATAAAACACAAGGACCAAAAGGGGGAGCTGGATTCCACCAAACTCCTCTTCTGTTTTGGGTCTTAAGTGGCAGTTTTGTAGTTTCAAAGTTGGTGACAAGAGAAGTATTCCAAGTTCAGCCACCACATGAATAAATTCATTTTATTCTTTGTCCAGAGTAAGAGATATATGAGCCTTAGCATCACCTAGGGCATAGAATAACGATTTCAAATCAGTTTGGACAAAACCCTCAGCTAACACTGCCTTGCCATCCTAAGAGACAAACTAAGTTGCACACAGTCATCACTTCTACATCTCTTTCTCATTTTTCAGAGAAGCAGATCACAGTAAGTTTTGGGGTCACTACATACTGATAGCTACTTAAATCACTACACTTTGTGCAATTTATCCATTTGGATCATTTCTATAAGCTACTGATTTTCTCTACAGCTTCCACAACTTCCCCAAGATAAAGCATACTAGTCATAAATCATCATTTCATGGCCAGAAGATCTCTTCTTAGGTGAAATCTTCATAGAATAAAATAAGCTAGATCATGTGTGTCGATTAGGAATTAGACAGGCTCATAGAAGATGCATATAAAGCCATAAATCTGAGCTCTGAGTCAGTAAGAGCTAAGAGCGCAGACTGCAGAGCCTTGGGAGGATGCACAGCATCCCCTTGTACCTTATGCCACATGTACACACCCTCCTTGAACACCTGCACACATGAACCTGTAGCCTAACACAGAATATTCTTAGCTGACTATTTCAGAACTAAAACCACTTTACTGTTACTATGTGACATGACAGGGTATGATGTATCTGTTTGTCTCGCATGATCCAGTCCTCCAGTCATGTGTAGAAAGGTAACAAATGTGTTGGGCGTGATACAGACAATATTTTTATTTCCATTTCTGACAACACACTGTTCTTCTGCCAACAAGCCTATATACACAGTGAGTGCATCTGCAGGAAGGGAAACAAGCTAGTGAGCCCTCGTATTAAAGGTACTCCACCTCAGTTAATGCTACTCCCATGGTCTCTGCACAGCTGGGTTTGATTTTTGCCAATGGTATTCAGGTCATCCAGCTGCTGAGAACAGAACTGAGGCTTCAGTGATCCTCATGGCACAAAAATGTACCAGAAGAGGGAAGGCACACGACACTAGCTGCAGTGTCGTGCACGAAAAGCACGAAAAGAGACACGAAAGCACAGTTCCTAGGTTTCAAACATTTGTACACATTCAAATGACACTAGCTGCAGGCTGCAGAGACACGAAAGCACAGTTCCTAAGTTTCAAACATTTGTACACATTCAAATAACTGTGTGAGCAGGTAGTGCATATCCATCATTCCCCACTGGCCCTTACCCTAGAGTCAGTAATTGCAAAGTATCCTCAACACCAAGCCAAACCACAGTCAGTTGCAATCTGGACCCCTCTCTTTTCACTGCAGTGTCGAGGCTCCTAGTAGTGACCCTTTTTGACAATAATGATGCCAAAAAAACTTTCTGTTACCTCGCAGTTCTGTAACTTGTAACTCCATGAAACTTCACTGTTTCTGCAAATAAGGTGATTCCTGGAGAACATGATATCCCCTCTTCGCTAACTAGTGTTTCTCATTACTTGAAAGAAGAAAAAGCCAAAGACACATGACACCAACAGTTTAAATTGAGTTACCTTTATATTTGAGAAGGCTGTGAGCTAACCCAATAAAGCTCACCCTGGATTTTCAACACATGAAAACCAGTAGTGCATTCACCCCACGAACCCTGCATTATGCAAAACAGAATCCACATGCGTAATGTATATTTGTTTATACATAATTTACATAGAGAGGCAGAATCGCTCGACATACGATAGCATGTCGTATCACCACTGGAAACATGCCTATACTGGCCACTTTCCAACGTGGTCTTGGGGGCAAACAGCATGCTCACGAAGACTCCTGAAGTATATATAGTTATATATAGTTTTATAAATACATATATGTGTGTACATATAGCCAGATTTACAAAGGGGCCGTATTCTCTGCAGAAATAGGAGTAGCATTCATATCCTAAACAGTGTGCAACAGATGGTCTCCAAAGTTATGGCATGTACATTGACCACAAAGGACCTCATAAGTTACCTAGTTCTGTAACTAATTAGTTGAAGAACAATGTAGTGCAGAGGGCTACACGGCAGATATGCAGAGATAAATCTGGATCCATCTTCACACCTGGCTCTGCAGCAGACCCAAAGCGCTACTCATGACTAGTCAGCTACGCCCCTTTCTCACAGGGCAACAGCTTTAATAGATGGATTAAAAACAGGAGCAGGAATAACCTTGGAATATTTGGAACAACTACTATGTTGGTCTGATCTGACAGCAGTATTCACCCAGCTCAAATTAAAAATGACACAAAAGATCAATTTAGTTGAGGGGTGAGGATAATTTGATTAGCTGTATTTATCCATGTCTCATATGAATGGGATTTACTTATTTTTTAAATTATAACAAATGTCAAGTTCATATAGGAAACGTTTCATCCATCTAAGACTCAAATAATACTGAAATGCATACAGACTTGTGTGCACCTATGGACAAAACGCACAGATGCATGCTCTCCAATCTGTGCACACACCGTGATCAGTCTATGAACCAAAGTTCAGACACAAAGATTAAATTGCATCTCTTTGTACTCAAAATATAGTCTCATTGTTATTACGCAGGCAACAAAAGAATTACACATCTCTCTAGTTTTCTCCTTTCTTTCTTCTAAGGTGCTGCAGTAACTCAGAAGGAGTACACTCCACCACAAAAGACCTGCCAGTGAGCTGAAAAATTTACAACAGCTAACTTTTTGGTATTGTAGTGAATAAAACTTCAGACACAGAAGTCTGGTTCAGTGGAAGGTATCTTTAATGCTTTCTATATAGGCAAAGAGTGTGTTCCACACTCACTGTCTCCTCTGCAGAAATACCATGAGCTGTTTGTGGGTACTGCCCTATGATGTTTGCTGGTTAGCTGTGGAGATGGTGCACCTATACAGAAAGTGTCTAACTCAGATTTACATCTATAAGCCAAAATCCATTCTTTTCTGAGACATCCTGGAAGGCTTCTAAGGCTTCAAAGTGTGGGCATCTTACAGCAGAAGCAGCACTGTCTCATGGCAAAAGTACAGCGTGTGCCTAAGATGCAATTAATGCTGGGCTGGGCAGCAGCATGTAGCAGCTACATCTGCACAAGCATCGAAATACATTTACAGCACCAGACCAGACAGTCTGCAGCTGAGCTACGACACGCATATGGGCAAAAATTTGTGCACAGGATGAGAATCGGTGCCCCTCAAGCCATTAAAATAGTCTTCACAATAGACATAACAGGAGAAATTAAGCTCACATGAGAAATAATGTAGAACTGTACATGTCAATCCTTTTATCTCAAGCCACGGTACCCTGGAATCACTTATGGCCAAAACCCACAAACGGACTGGCTTTTCAGAAGCAGTCCCTTATGGTCCCTTGCCAGCAGCCAAAACCCATGCTTTGGGGTTCAATACCTGGCCCGACCCAACTGCTGAATTTCTGAAGCATGAAAGACAACAGAAGTCTTGAAGCATCAAGTTTTTAAGACCATCTCCTTCATGCCCATGCACAAAAATGCAGGAGTCCTCACTCCACAGAAGGCAGGTTTGCTTTTCTGCCATTGTAATACAGTTATTTTACACTGCTGAAACACTACCTATGAACTAATAATGGCAAACTATGGGGTCACTGCTTCGCCCTCAACAGACTGACCAACCCACAGAGAAAAAGGTCAAAATTTACATCTGGGTTGACAGCTGCTTTGACAAATTCTAACCTGATGTAATTTCATAGTACACCACAGACGTGAAATTCTAAAAATTGAGTAATCCCAGTGGAAAGCTGGACTGCCCTGTGAAAGGTTTCACTAAGGCAGAAACGTCTGCTGTTGGGTCAGCTGTAATGGTATGTCACATCACTTCTGCCATCAATTTGCTGTAGCAAAAACACGCAAACAAACTGGCCCACCAAGTCCCCCACTTGCAAACGCTAATAGTTCTCCAGGCTATTGGTTTTGCTGAGGTTAATTTCCCACATTCAGAAATGCCCCAGTGCCAGCCTTCCTTTAAGGTCTACCTTCTTGAATACAGAAACATATCCTTTGCTTTCCTTTCTCTCTGTGATCAGTGTGTACTCAGGGATTGATTGCTGCTCCTTCTGCGACAGCCATGAATAACATCAGGAAGGAGTGAATGACACCAACAAGAGAATTATTTTCTTAGCAGTCTGCCAGAAAATCAGTGGCAGTGTTCTTGTTTCTGGAACCTCAAACCACAAGATCTGCAGCTGTATGTTTTAAACGTCAGTAGTGGAGTACCAAGCTGCTACAATTTCAAATCTAAAAAAAATAAATAAATCAGAACAACTTCAAGGACAGGTTACATTTCAGGAAGAGACCAATCCTTCAAACTGCTGTAGGGCATTACAAATCTAGCAGTTTAATAATAATGCCTCTAAGCAACTGATAGCACTGAGATAAAATCATGATCAGAGGTCTACGCAAAAATAAATCAATGGAAGGTTTGTCACAGAAGAAGGGTAGTTCTCAATCTGCTAAGGAGATGGCAAAGCAGCCGCCTTTCTCCTTGCAAGCCAAAGCAACGCCATACTTGGGGAACTGAAAACACCTTCAGCTGCATTTAAAATGTTCTAACTGAACAGTGACAGAAAAGTTAAAATACTAGACTTGGGTATTCTCCACACTCGGCAGAGAAACCACTTTGGGCTACACAGTTATGAGAAGATTTTAAGACAGTGTGGAATTCATTTAATGGATTTTCTATGATCAAGATCCTCCTGCCATTTAAAAATGTAATAAATGTCAGTCTTAAGAAGTCCCTCTCATTCAAAACACAGACCTTTCCAAGGGGGTTCACATAATTATTTACTCCTCGTATCAACGAAGCGTGGGCATGCTGCTTTACAGTACTGACACAGGCAGGTTCAGTAAGGGAGTTCTGTTCCAATGCTTTCCTTCTTATCCCTCCCACTACAGTGTCCGGTTCAAAATACTGTGCAAAATACAATGTAGGTCATTTCCTTCTGGACAGTACCAGAACAAACAGGCCCTGGGAGACCAGTTCAGCATCTAATTAGAATATATGCACTAAACACTCCAACTGTTGCACCCCACCCCCTAGCACAAGAAACAACAATGCACAGAATATTTCCGATCTGAATTGTGAAATATCTATGACGCTTTTGACATTCAAGGGGCTTTTTTTGAGTTGTCAGCATGTCACCTCCACAGGCACCCTCTAAAGCCTCTTCCCGCTCCATTTCTGTCTGGCTACTTCTTCTAGCCACAAATTCCTACAAAAAAATACAAAGTGCATCTTCCTGACCTTCCCCAAAACCGGATGTACACATACAAAGCATTCTGGGCATTGCTAGCCTAATCTCAGCAATGATCACAACACACTTCATCAGGACAGCACAGAAACTTGCTACCCTCTTAGCTCTGACCTCTGTAATTATCCACATGGATGCATGTAAATTCAAAAGGAATTATCCGAAATTGCTTCACCAGTTACGGCTGGGCACTAAAATGCTTGTGATCTGTACTAGAACATTAGGAAAATTCCTTTTGTTTTCTGCACCACAGCCAAGAGTGAAGAGAAACACTTGATCTACCCTCACTCCCAAAGACCATGGAGGAAATGTAGTCACTATTACTGAACACAGAACAGAAGTGCCATGTGCACATACTGACCTTCTCCCATTTTATGCCTTTTTGTTTTCAGAGTTCTTATCCAGTTTCTAATCCATGGCTTTATTTTGCCTTTCAAGCAAAATTTCTTGTACATCAGACTTAGCAAAAGGTGCTTTAAGAGCTCAGTTAACTGCCAGCTATTTTTTCTTTTTTCTAATATTCCAGCCACATGTCCAAAATTAAAAAAAAATCACAAGTCTTCAGAGAAGTCCCAGTAGTCACTAGCTACTGACGACGTAGAATCTTCTGATTTACTCCATACTGTCACAAAATCATTTGCTTACTATTAAATCAGACCACAATAGAACTGAACAGCTCACAACAAACCAAACTGCAGTAGCTTCCTCTGCTTCCTAGGGTTTCACAACAGCCGAGAGATTCTCTTTTATGTATCTATATTTACACACACGTTTTATTTATAGATACACATGCACATATATACGTTTGCTGTATGAGGACCTTTTTTTTTATTAATTCTGCAAGTCATTTATTTATTCCTCTCTAGCACAAGGAATTAGTTAATCCAAATTTATTTTCACTAATTACATTGCTAAGGAATTATAAGATTCTTATAAGAATTATAAAATCAGATTACCAATTACAACCACAGACAATCACTCCAAAAAAGGAGGCATTTCACTGTCACAACCAATGACATAAAAGAGCTACTCATCAGCAATTATTTGTCTAATCTCATTCTGTTAACATCACATTAAACACTGCAGGATGGTTCATTTATTTATCTCTTCTTGCTAAAGCAGAAAGACAAAAACCACACCATCTCTAAGCCTTAGTTCCCATGCTGCAAGCAAATCAACAGACTGTATGACAGAAAAAATACACAGCAGTCAGGGAAGAGAGAATGACAAATTTAAATTGGTTCTTCCTCATCCCACGTCTTGTGCGACGGGTGAGAGATGATGGCACACATGTCAAACAGTATCAGGAAAGGATGCTTCGGAGTGTCAGAACAGCAGTGCCTCCGACAGCGTGTGTTAAGGTCCTGATAATGAGCTAGTAAAGATACCCAGTAACAGTTAAAAGAGCTGCCAATTCTCAAGTAAAAGGGGTTCTTTGAAAGGTGGCATAGATTAAATTCTTTGTGCATCCAAAGCACGCAAGGATGGATTGCTTTATAGGTGTCTGTACCACTGTAAAAGCTCATCTGTTTCTGTGACAAACATCAGGACTTGCAATGAGCTGGAACTCAGGGTGGCTCATGAAATGCGTGTGGACAGCACATCGCAGAAAGAAGGCAGGTAAACTCACGTAACTCTTATTCTCGTATGTGGACTGCCCTGTACCTGCTCAGAGAGCCCACACAAGGACTCTGTCCTCCTTTTTGTAGGGTCCAGGCACAGACTCGGTAAGAAAATACTTGGTGTAACCTTACTTTAGGGCAACTAACAGTACTCTAAGCACATCCTGCACAAGAAGCCACCCCTTTGCTGATAAAATGATGTTTCAGGAGGAAAGGAAGGCTGAAAAAAACAAAATGTCTGATTTTTAATTCAGAAGAGTGATTGATGGTCAGATGGTGACACAAGGATAGACCCCGTCAGCAAAGTGATTTTATCTTGCTGGTCAACAGGTCAGGTAATTTGGCAGGATCACGGTACATGGGACAAACTGCAGCTATAAAGACTGAACAGAGCAGAAGAGAAGGAGTAGAATAGAATAAAGTAGAATAGCATGGTTTAGTTCCAGTTGGAAAGGACCTACAGTGACCATCTAGTCCAACTGCCTGACCACTTTAGGGCTGACCAAAAGTTAAAGTGTGTTGTCCAAATGCCTCTTAAACACTGCCAGGCTCGGGACATTGACCACCTCTCTAAGAAGCCTCTTCCACTCTTTGACCACCCTCTCAGTACAGAAATGCTTCCTAATGTCCAGCCTAAACCTCCCCTGGCACAGCTTTGGACCATTCCCATGTGCCCTGCCACTGGATCCCAGGGAGGTCAGCACCTCCCTCTCCACTTCTCAGGAAGCTGCAGAGAGCAATGAGGTTGCCTCTCAGCATCCTCCAGACTAGACAAGCCCAAATTCCTCAGCTGCTCCTCACAGGACAGGCCTTCCAGCCCTTCTGACAGCTTTGTTGCCCTCCTCTGGATGCATTCAAGGACCTTCACATCCTTCCAAAACTGTGGGGCCCAGAACTGCACACAGGACTGGAGGTGAGGCCACACCAATGCTGAGTACAGTGGGATAATCCCCTCTTTTGGCCGGCTGGTCATGCTGCGTGTGATGCGCCCCAGGATGCTATGTGCCCTCCAGGATGCCAGGGGACACTGCTGGTTCCTGTTGAGCCGGCTGTACCCCCAGATCCCTTTCTGCAGGGCTGCTCTCCAGCCACTCCTCTCCCAGTTTATACTTGTGCCTGGTGCTATTCCATCTCAGGCACAGAATCCAGCATTTTGACTTGTTAAATTATCATTGCCCAATGCTCCAATTTATCTAGAACCCTCTGCAAGGCCTCTTGTCCCTTGAGTAAGCAGCATCTCCCAGTTTGGTATCACCAGCAAGCTTGCTAATGGCGCATTCAACTCCTATATTGATAAATATATTGAACAGAACTGGTGTGAGAATTGAGCTCTGAGGAACAACACTGGTGACAAGTTGCCAGACATCTAGCCCCATTAACTCCAACCCTCTGATCCCTGCCCTTCAGCCAGTTCTTTACCCAGCACACCATGAACTAGCTCATCCCAGAGTTGGACAGCTTGTCCAGAAGGATGCTGTGAGGGACAGTATCAAAGGCCTTAATAAAATGCAGAAACACCACATCCACTGCCTTCCCTTCATCCACTATGCAGGTGACCTTATTGTAGAAGGATATCAAATCAGTTGGACAGGACTTTTCCTTCACGAACCCATGTTGACTGTGGCTGGTGGTCCGTCAAATGCCTTTCAATAGCATCCAGTATAATCTTCTCCATAATTTGTGCAGGTACTGAGGTTAGATTAACAGGTTTGTAGTTTCCTGGTTCTTCTCTCATGCCTTTTTTAAACTGAAGTAACAATTTTAACACGGTTAAGTGAAGTGTACAAATGGGGATGGTGTGTCCTCACTGAAGCACAGCTGGTAATAACAATCCCTTCCCTTGTCTTTCAGCCATAGAAGTTGGTCACCGTTGTGATTAGCGCATGAGAAAACCTCATCACTACATTTGGTTTTCAGCACAGCCTGTGCTGTTCCTCAGCAGAACTAACTCTTCTCTCAACACTAGACTTGAATTCAGGACTTAAATTTGCTGTTCTCCTGTTTCTGAGAAAGAGGCAGCTCTCCAGCTAATCATTCCATCCAGGCACCCACATGAAAAATCCCCTAAATGTCAAGAAACTTCACTAAAAAAAAAATGAAGGGGGAGGGGTGCAGGTCTAGACAGATTAAAAACATAGTTAATGAGTCATGATTAAACAGCAGCTTTAATGATGAGCAAGAAAAACTGTAAAAAGCTGGTTTGCATTACACATGCAGGACCTTTACGAGAACAGCAGGCAGCTACGAACAGGCCAGGGAACTGAACAATGCAATTACTCAACTTTGCAGAGGCCACACAGGAAGCCCAAGGTCCTCATGTCCAAGAAAAGCTAGACTGCATCCCAGAAGGAATGCTGCACGTTCACAGATGCACAGCCTTTCTAGACAGAACCGCTGGCTCACTTACCTGTTTAGGGTCAACAGTGGCAGCCGGTGACTCCAGTTCTATTGTTACAGGACCATCATTCTGGATGTGAACCTGCATGTAGGCACCAAACTTGCCGTCTGAAAAGGGAAGAGACAAAAAGTTCTGAGGGCTCTTGAAAGGATAACACATACCACAATCTTTGCCAAATGTGCTACTAAAATGAGGGGGAAAAAATACATAAAAGGAAGCCAACTAAGAAACTGCAGAAAGCTACTCAGGAAAAAACAGTCTGTGTGCACTCAGCTCTGTGGTCAGAGACGACAAATACAGCACTGGCAGGGGCCCAGACAGGGTTTGTGATTCTCTGAGTCCACAGCACTGCAGGTGGGGTCTCACCAGAGCAGAGTAGAGGGGGAGACTCACCTCCCTTGACCTGCTGTCCACACTTCTCTGGATACAGTCCAGGATACGGTTGGCTTTCTGGGCTGCCAGCGCACACTGGCAAGGATGGGTTTTGTGACTGTGCCTCTGAGCATGTTAAACAGTAGTGGTCCCAACACCGACCCCTGAGGACCACCACTCGTTACTGGTCTCCACTCAGACACTGAGCCATTGACCACCACTCTCTGAGTGCGACCATCCAGCCAGTTCTTTATCCATCGAGCAGTCCCTCTGTCAAATCCATGTCTCTCCAGTTTAGAGACAAGGATGTTGTGCGGGAGTATACATATATGTAACAGCAATCCTTCTAGGAGCAACAGCAAACCTTCTAGGAGCAGCAGCTCAAGTAGCGTCTGCTTCCTCTTCTTGAAGAAGAAACATGGCCGCTTCCAGCCTTCTGACCCAAGGTCATCCCAGGTCAAGGTGAACCAGAGCTCAGAAAGTTTAAGGTTTAGAGCTAATGGAAACAGTACTTAGAACAGAAATGTCTGCTAACGCTGACCTCCTCTACAGCCTCTCTTGCAGACCTTCCTCTCAGAGACAGGAAGGGTCTCAGCGCCTTGCAACCACCACAATAGTCACAGCAATCTTATTCTCTCAAAGAATTTTAAAAGGCACCTGAGAGAAAATTTTTTCACAATTCCAAAATCCCTTTATTGGTCTTTATCCACAAAATCCTCAGACAATGTCACATACCCCCATCTTCAAGCTTTCAAATATACTGCAAAGGTGCTGTCGTCAAAAGCAGCTGCCACCCCCTTATCACAAATTGATGTGTCCTGTAGGTTCAGGAAACACAGTCCCTGCAAAGTACTGTGCTTTCCTCAAACACTTCTAGAACACTTATGGATTTCTGTGCTGACATTTCCCTTATACAGCAAAATCAAAGGGTTCTAGCAGTCCATTAGTCCACGTAGCTCTTCTCACAAAGTGCCCTCACTGTAACACAGCTTTTTTCTCCACAGCTCCAGGGTCTGGTCTTGCCTGAAAGAACTTGGGAAAGCTAAAACCTGGTTTCACCAATTCTTCTTAAATCAATGCCGAATTCCTCCTTAGGAAGAGATGCTGCTTCAGCAGAATCTCCCTATGTTGGCTGCCTGCCTCAAAAACATTCTTCTACCTGATTTTCCTTGTCCCAGTGTTTGCTGTAGTGCAAACATGACCACAAAGAAACTGAAGACATCATGTCTCTGTCCCAATAGTTTGTCTGGGTTGATCTTCATTCTTCAGTCAAAAGAAAAGGAGGGGAAAGAATCCACCCTCCTTGGATGTTGCTTGTTACCTCAGCAGCTTTAGGGATATTTATCCTGTGACCCTGTACTATTCAGGAGAGACACCAGCAACTTAACCTTAAACACTATTTCTCTCCCTGCTTCTTATACCTCAATGCCCTTCAATGCAGTAAGTATCTTTCCTCACCTGAAGACTTCTTGACTGATCAAGTCACCTCCTCACAACATCCTCTGCAATAAAACAGGATCCTACAAGTATCACTAAAATGACAAGTTTATTCTGCTGGACACCCATCTCTTCGGATTCCTTTTCCTTTAGAATTTGGAACGCATGCCTTCCTGAGAGGCAAAGATCTTAATCTGAGGTGGGACAGACAAGCTACATCTGAGATGTAAAGACTTGAAAATGAGATATAATTTACTTTCAGAATACTTCTGGACATACCTCATGACCTAGAAACTTAATACTGGTTTTATTCAGAAGTTACTTCTAAGCTTGTCCCTTTAAGTTGTTCCTAATTAATCCCATGTGGGTACCCTTGCTCCAGATAAGGGCACTTGCTCCAAAGCACCAACACTCAAGAAGGGAAGTAATAAGAGAGAATAATTCTGCTTTCAATTTGCACAAAACCTTCATCTGAATTCAACTCCTCCTTGTGGAACAGTCCTCTTATATTTCTCAGATATTGCTATTAAGGGAGTGAGATATTCCACACTCTTTGCCATGCTAATCCTTACTGCCTCAGAAGACTAAATCCACATTCAAGGCAGAGTGAAGGCCCTGACAGAGATGTGGAGAAACCTTGGTAGGCCTGGTTTCTGGATATTAGCTTGCACAACAGAGTACTCAAACCTGCATTCACCAGCTCTGCTCCTCAGAGTGGAGTCAGGTATTTAGGAATGAATTTCTCAAGAAAGCACCAAAGCAAGACAAGCAAGGACCAACTCTTCCCTCAACATGAGTGTCCACCTGCAGTCTTACAACATCCGTGTTAAACTAGGAGCCACAGCTCTGAGCCTTCTCCAAGATTTTGTCAAACATCCGCCCGCTCTGGGTGTGAAAGAATGGTTTGCACTTCTCTTTAGGGAACATTTACCATTCTGAGCTCCTAGCTGGCAAGCTCCAGCTAGACCAGGAGTTTCCTGCCCAGCATCTACAACAGTGCCACACGTAGTAGCTCAACTTCCAACAGCCAAACTAGTCTATTGAAAAAATATAAGGACTAGAAAACACAGGGCTCTTAGGCAATACGGCAAGACATTTATTGATCTGTCTGACTCAGGTATACAAATTCCACTTTAAATGATTAAATTACTCTTCTAAAATGTGTTAAGCAATTTGTAAGATCAAAGGGAAAGGCACCTACAGCAACCCAGAGAATCAGACAGTGATCTCCCAATAACTTCAGCTCTGTGTGTGTGCGTACGTGTAGGAGAAATACATGAGTGCCGGTTTTGAAGACAGAAGGTAGAGCCTCATGCTGATACACCAGGAGTATTAGAATAGCCCAGCAGCTCACTCATCAGCGCTCCTTTCCAGTGTGCACCCATCATCCTTTGTAACACGGCAGCATGTAGGATAGCCCCCAACAAGTCAGGTTCCCGTCTCCTTAGGATTTTTCAGGGCAGAACTCAGTATGTTTGCACACCAGACTAAACGACAGCCCGGGTATTACAATTATACAAAGTTATACTTACACTCAAGCAGTCCTGCTCACATACAGTCTGCCAGTGTGTAAAGGCTGTGTGTTCTACTCCACCTCAGCTCAGGTCAATTGTAAACTCCGCTGATGCGACCACAGACCTTAGCCTGCTGCCCATGAAACCACCAACTTCAGAAAATTTATACACACAAAAGTAAATAGATAAAACAAGAAAACAAAACAAAAAAGCACTGGCAAAACAATTGGCACAACAGAAACGTCGAGCTTAAGAATCTAACAGACCTGGATGCAGCACAAAGGAGACTGGCAGACCGTAAAAAGAAAGCAACATCACAAATTAACAGATGGCTTCGATGCCGCCAGCAGTTTCAATGCACGTGCTATTGGACACAATAGCACAGGCACTCCTGGGTTTCTAAATCTACGTTTCCGGCATGAAAAGACAATGCAGAAGAGAAAGCTCTTTCTGCAGGAAGCACTGGCAAACAAGTGCCAAAATAGGGGCACTTAACAACAGCAGCTATTCATTTCAGGTGTGTTACACACTGAAAACGGAAGTTCAAAAAGCTGCTGTCAAAATATAAACTGATTGAAAGTACTTCAGAAACAGCATTTTCCAAAGCCCAAGGATAAGGATGTAGATATACAGAGATAAATCAATTTTTTCCCACCTCATTTAAGTTAAAGAAGAAAGTCCATACTTGCTTTCAGTTTCCCAGGACATAAGGGTCCAACCCGATCAATTCTTACCAGAGCAAGTCTTACTCCCATTGACTTCCTAGGAAGTTCCATCTCCAGTTTCAGAGGCACAGGAAGGGGCCCTAACTTAGTCATAACAACAAGAATAAAGATTCAAAAAGCACATGCTCTGAATTCATCAGAAGTTTTCTATGTTATGGACCAAAAGGGATGCAGGGAAGGGGTACCAGAAATATATTCCTTATCATCACAAATGCTGATTAGAAGAACATACCAAGCTACTGGAAAGCTGACACAGCATGGATGTTTTATGTGTGCATTTCACTGCGCCTCCTTGGAAAGCACTGGGATAATTACCTTCGTCTACAGTCAATATGGAAACTAGCCTCTAAATCTTTCCCCAGTTGCCAGTTTTCTGCCTTTTTCTTCTTTTTTTTGCTCATAAGGAAAGTAAAGCTGACCATCATCTATTGTCTTCTGGGCAAGTGTATCAAAAATTCAAGTCTAAATATGAAAATGGCCAGAAAGCAAACAGAAAATATTAAGGGTGGACAGAGCACAAATGCAAAGGGAAGCCAGGCATTTTCTGGTGAAAACCGTTTTACATGTGGCACAGAGTTGAGAAAAGACAGTCTAACTCAAACGCTGTTCTCAAGTAGCACATTACACCTCCCAGTGCCACCCTTGCCATTTAATAGAACGTAAAACTAACGTGACAGATGGAGCTGCGCTGTCCATCACACACCGGGGACGCCTTCGAGCCTGACTAACCACATATGTCTCAGACAAAATGCTCCTCCTGAGTTAATCTAGCCACACAGCACGAAACATCCAGCCTTTGAGGAAGCCTGATCCTAGAGTTCGTTCTCATGGCTGCAGCCTCTCTGGGTGACGTTGTCAGAGCCATTGCTCATGTTGCAGAGCCAAGACCAATACAAGAACATCTGCGTGTCAAACTATTCCAGAGGAACGCCAGGAAACGGCTTGTGCTAGAGGAAGACTGGAGTGATCAACCTGCCAGGCTGCTAGTGAAAATACTCTAACACTCCCTCATCTACCGCCATGTAAAGACAGTTCCTTTTAAACAGACAGAAAAATGACAGAAGAAAGATAGTAACGGCCGGGGAACAGCACGTACAAACAAAGTCCACTGGCCATATCAAGCACCTTACCAACATTTTGACCTTACCTTTAATAAGCTCTGGTTTGTAGGCTTTTCTTAGCTGCTCTAGGAAGTTGTTATAAAAACACTCGGCCTGCTCTGTGGGCATTGCCATGTGGTAGTCAGGTTTGTTTCCTTTCAGGATGCACTGGAGAGTAAATTGGCTCACACACAACACTTCATACTGTTTATCCATCACACTTTTGGACCAGTGTTTCCCACTTTCATCTTCAAATACTCGCAAGTTCAAGATCTTTCGAACCCTAGGAGGAGAAAAAGATAATTCCTAAAGTGTCCCATGCAGGATCAACAGGTACAAGTTAATGCCTACCACATAGGATGAGATAAAAGGGGAGGCAGATGCATATTTATCCTGCCTACACATAACAAGAGATGCCTTTGTCGCTTCCTTCCTAAACCATGGGCATCTTGTCACATTAGACTGAGCCACAACCTCACACATTACACTCTCAGACCATTAATTAACATTATCATTTTACAGAGCATGAGATCAGCACAGAGTAACTGCAAGTTACACAGTGACATACAGACAGCATTACTCTTTGCTATCTGATTTCATGTGTCACAACATTATTTAACATGTGGAATAGCTTTGGGCATTTTAATCCTCCCTCCGCACTGAGGAATCACACTCCACATGGAATGAGATCATCCTAAACTATGGTTGTTTCCAAACATGATTCACAGATATTCCTCCAGCTTTGTCACCTCCCAGCGCTCTTTCCAAACCAAGCCCCACAAGCCAGAGGAGGACAGCACTTCTTCATCAGGATCACAGACTCACAGAACCACAGACTGGTTTGGGTTGGAAGGGCCCTTTAGAGGTCATCTAGTCCTACTCCTCCTGCCATGGGCAGGGACATCTTCAACTAGATCAGGTTGCTCAGAGCCCCATCCAGCCTGACCTTGAACGTTTCAAGGGCCGGGGCATCTGCCACCTCTCTGGGCAACCTGTTCCAGTGTTTCATCACCCTCATTGTAAAAAATTTCTTCCTCATATCGAGTCTAAATCTATACTCTTTCAGTATAAAACCACTACCCCTTGCCCTGTCACAACAGGTCCTGGTATAATGTCTGTCCCCATCTTTCTTACAAGCTCCCTTTAAGTACTGGAAAGCCACAATAAGGTGTCCCTGGACCCTTCTCTTCTCCAGGCTGAACAGGCCCAACTCTCTCAGCCTGTCCCCATGGCAGAGGGGCTCCAGCCTCTGAGCATTTTCGTGGCCATCCACTGGACCTGCTCCAACAGATCCATGCCTTTCCTGTGCTGAGGGCTCCAGAGCTGGATGCAGTACTCCAGGAAGGGCCTTGCCAGAGCGGAGAATCAATTCCCTCAGCCTGCTGGCCATGGATGAGAGGAGGAAGGCAGGGAAGAGTGCAGAACTGCAGGTGGTGGCAAAGTGGTGACTGGGACTTGTTTGTATTTGTATTAAGGCTGATTTTTGGATCTGGGGGCAGAACTGACTGGTTTGAATACTCAGAGAGGACAAGGAGACTTTCACAAATGAATCCTGAGAAGCAGCAGGCAGGCTCACAACCCAGTCTATGGCTGGATTTAGATTGATAACGAGACTGCATGCAAGCCACTCTCCCGACTTTGGTTTCTTCTTTTAGCTGCTACAAATCGGCAGCATCTATAAACAAGGGAGCGTATCAAGTGCAAAACATTTCAATTGCAGCTGTCAGCCAGACATTTTACGTTGCAACAAAGGTGAAGCAGTTAGTATAAAATAAAGGTGAGACTTTGTTATGGCCACAGAACAGAATCATCGAACCACAGAATAGTTTGGGTTGGAAGGGACCTTTAAAGGTTACCTAGTCCAATCCCCCAGAGGCAGTCACAAAAACCAACCTTGCCAATCTGTGTGTGTCAAAGACAAACAGAACTGACTCCTGAAAGAAGTGGATGGTTAAAAACCTCGGAAGGCCCCAGCACACAGGCTTCCATCTTTGTCGCTGCTGTGTTTTAATGATAAAGACAGTTGTTTTTTCATTTACAGGATTACTAAGTTTCCTTTAATAGGACTTGAAGGGTTTGGTTAAGCTGATTTCTTTCATTCTTTTTCTTCAGATGCTGACTTCCTGCCCTTCCTGCGTCAGTCATCCAAACAGCCTGGTGTTGAGAGCACAGTCACTACGATCAGCCTGCAATATTCAGAAGCACCTTTCACATTCACCAAGGTAGGAATGAGAAACAACAATAGAGCAAATGTTACACACTGAGGAGGTGAACAGTAAGGCGAGCCAATGGAGCAGGTCATAATAAAAATACCTTCAGCTTTGCTGCAATTCTCTACAAGTTTCACACGTTTATGTGAGATCTTTGGTGTCCTTCAGTTCACCTCACTCTCTACTTTCTCTTCCACATCTGCTAAGGGTTGTTTTCACCCTCACCCACATTCCTTCTCTCTTCACTGCCTAAGCCTTTCCTCTTCTTGACACCAGTTAGCTCTATTGCCTGTTTCTTCTTTGCCTTCATAAGAACTGAGGTCAGCCCTAGAACAAGGAACAATCTGAAGGAGACAGAAGAAGCCCCCCTGAAGAATTCCTTGCACATGTTTGCTGGATGAATCACAGTATTTTGTGGCCATGGAACAGATGGACAGACACGGCCCTCCAGACTACCAAAATTGAATCACTTCTACAGAAAAGTAACTGATGAGGCTACCCAGCCTTTTAGAAGAACAAAGCTTCTCAGGTGCAAGCTAAAATGAGAGTTTGAGGTTTCTGGTACATCCCAACCTTGATGGACTGACTCCTTTGGGGTTAATTCATACAATAAAAAGGACAGCTATTTTAAAAAGGAAGATTAGAAAAACACATGTTGATTTCTTCCTTTCTGAGTCTGTTCTTGATAAAAAACACATAGACAGGAAATGGAAACAGATTTTTTTTTTTCAATGGAACATAAGAAGAAAACTCTAACTAAAAAAATGTATTCAAGGTAAAATCTGATAAGGAACTAACAGGCAAACTTGAAATTCCCAACTGGAGTGACCCACTTGTTTGGCTACTGCACAAGTATCACTGATTCAGTGTCAGAAATGCAGAAATGAGAGAGTACAAGGCAAAAGGAAAGATGTGACTTACATGTGCTCCAGTTCTCTTTGCGTGTCTTCCAAAGAAATGCCCAGCAGGACACAGAGGCCTCGTCCTATTGAACTTATTTGTTCACCACCCACTGGGGAAGAGGGGAATAAAGACAAGCAAAGGCTAAATGCACTGTCTCATTTTATGACACAGGTAAGTACTGATTTCAGCTGGCAACTGTACAACCACCAAAGAAAACATCATTCCAAACTCTTCTTCCCTGTCTTAAGTTTGTTAGAGAGTAAAGATCACATAGAAGCCCTCTTTCAGAAGTCTTCCCAATACCATGACTTAGTTTTGAGGGGACTAGCTCAAGATGTTTAAAAACACCGTATAAAGATTTTTTACTACAATTGCATCAGCAGTGCTAACCAGAGAGGTGGCAGAACTCTCCCCAATCCTTGTAAAAATTACTCATCTGGTTCCTATCAATAAGTGTACTCAGTTTCTCTACTCCACCACCTCCTCCACCACCCCCAACATCCTTCGCATTAGTTGTGAAAAGGTGGTTCTGATTTGGTATAGTCATGGATTTTTTGAAACAAGACTTGGAATAACCTGCAAATTCTACCCTCCTAGCTGGGAACACAACTTCTTCAATGGCATCTACAATAAAACACAAACCATCACAGATCCACCATGTTTTCCTAAGAAATGTTTTCAACTATCTTATTTTAATTAGTTTATATTAATTTAAGTTATCTTAACATGGTCAAGCTTGAGATGGTTGTAGTAAGCTTTACATGAGGTCTTAAAACTGAGAGAAGCACCAGCTACCCAGCCATTAAAACTATATCTAGGCTCATGCAACCAGGAAAAAAAGCCCCAACCAACCTGTAAAACAAAAGAAGAGCAGGCCCCTACTGAAAGCTGAAAGCATGTGTCTGTGCACCAGTGGCCAGATCTGGACTATTCCCAATGGACAGCAGCAAACCAGAGGGGAAAGCTCCCCCCAAAAACTCTTCCTTTCCATCCGATCTGGGTAAGAGCCCTCCGGCTCAGAAATCTATCCTCCTAGTAAGCACAGCACTATCTCCCTCACACAGGGACATCTCAAACCATCTAACTGCCAGAAACACATGGCTGTAAATCAGGCACAATCCCAGTGCTGACGAGGTCTGATCACTGTTGTACCCGCAGTACCAGCTCTGCTCCTTACTTGTGCTGACGAGGTCTGATCACTGTT